TTTTTTTCTTCTTTTCTTTTTCTTTTTACCCGAGCACGCGGGCGGGGACATGCCCCTTCCAACGGGGACTGCTCACGACGGATACGACGGCGAGTCTTTTCTTAAAAAAGAACGAAATATATTTGCCGGTAGATAAGATAGACGCATAGCGCAATATACTACCAACTACTTAAGTACTGTATAGGAATCAATAGTCATGAACCTCTAATGCCTCCCAAACCCCAGAAAACAAGAAGAAAATAGAGCAAAGTGCATGAAAACCAGCTAGCGATATTAACGCACATGGCGTAAGTCCTGACATGAACGTCCATCACGGAAAGGCCTGAGGACAAGTAGAACCCGGAACACTGTCAAGTGTGCCCTCAGCCTCTCCTATGTTACGTACACTGATGGCCCGGCCACTTAGTTGCGGAGCGTCTTCAAAAGAGACGAATCCTGTCTCTGGAATCCGCTTACGCAGCGTCGTCTGCCGCCGGCGTGGGCGTATGGACACCCGAGTAGTCGGGGGCGTCGATACCCGTCTCCCTTTCACCCTCCGTGTTGTCGTTATCCAAGCCGGTGGGTTGCATCAGATAAATATTTCCGATACTGAGCGTCTCGTCCAGATTGTCAGGTAACAAGCCTTCTCTGCCAACGACAATAGGTCCAGCGATCAGGCCGACGAAGACGATGAACATGAGGAAGTAGAGCACCGCGTATCGGAAAACACGCTTGCGCCTCAGCTTGGACTGCTTCATCGAGTAGATGGGAGGGCGAATCTGCCGGCTACACGAACATGAGTGGTCAGCAATGGCATAGGAAAACAGTGACAATTCGCGCAGTGGTCGACGTACCTGGGGCGAAGCCAGAAGAGCATCATCGAATGAACCATGTCGACCTTGGGAATCAATATGATCGGCAACATGAAGAACAGCAAGAAGTGACCCAGGACAAAGTCCGCCGCAAACATGGTCAATTCCGTGATTTTGCAGAGATACTCACGGGCAGGCTGGGACACGGAATGCCAGCCCATGGAGTACCACTTCCCTGTCCAGAAGGCGACATTGGCCTGATCGCTCTTCATCTCACGAGTGAGGCTGAGTGAGATGATGAGCTTGAAGATGAAGCGTTGGATTGCGACGACAGCAATCATGCCAGAAAGCGTCCGAGAGAAGTTGAATCCCTCGAGTAGGAACATAACCTCAAACGAGACGAGGAGCATGATCACAGCGATGGCGTGTGCGATAGCCGCCAAGACGCTGCCGAACTTCTTACAGCATTTGCTGAGGAGAGGTCCCATGAAACAAGCCATGGCGAAGAAGACGGCGAGCGCACCGGCGTTGACCACAATCGGGAAGAATGCTACTAGGCCCAGCCTAATAAGCGAGTCTGTGGCTTGGAGGTCCACGTCCGGATTGTTGTCTTCATTCACTCCCGTCTGCGCGTTGATATAGAGGAATGGGATGCCAGTGACGGCGACCAGCAGAAAAGGGGTTGCGATCTCGCCCCAGAACAGGTTTGTGATAGCCGCACGAGGGACATCGCCGGAGAGCTTGCTCGAAGGGTCGCCCAGAACCTTTCGCTTGTAGCCGGTGATGCGGGTACGTGAGAGGCGGCAGAAGGCAATCCAGGACGAAGCGTGCGATCGCGAGTTGCCACGAGACAGCCAGCGGAGGAAGTCTCGATAGTCGATGAAGAAATCATTCCAGGCGAACTGGTGCGGGTTATAAAGGAAGGGGGAGATGACGAGCGCCATGAGTGTAATCCAGAAGTACACAAGCGCCGCTTGCCACACCGTCAACGTCGCAAAAAGAAGCATCATCAAGAGGCGAGCGCCGAAATAGATGGACGGCCCGGCGAAACGAGAGTAGAGTACGCCGAAGGGGATGCGTGCTGTGGCGAAACCACGACCCGTGCCGATGTACCTGGCGCCGCCAAACGAGAGATCTTGTAGTACCGAATTTGCGTAAATCTGGCAAACAAAGACTTCGAAGAACGGAGAAAGAGAGAGAATCTGCTTGACAAGCCGCTTGATTGCCCGCCAGAAGCCTCGCTCTGTTAGTTCCTGCACAATGAGCGGAATCCAAGACAAGAAGATGACGAAAATGATCGACAGGACGCTGCGGAAAACCCAGTCGGTAATCGCCGCCGTGTTCTGGCACTTCGTAGGAAAGAGAGGGTCCGTGATGGGCACTTGTCTGTTGTACTCGCAGGCTTGCGTCTCGTACGTGAGGGCGCCAAGGTTGAGCAGGCAGATCATGAACATCTGAATCGAGAGCATGATGAAGATGTTGTTCAAGTGGAAGCCAGCGTGCGCATAGTAGAAAGAGAGGAAACGATCAAGCGGCAGCTGAGTGCCGAGATAGTAATACTCCCGTGAGAGCATCTGCTCGCCCATGCCTGTGCCAATCTTGGTGGTGAAGTTGAGAATGGACCCGAAACCCAAGTCACGTCCTTTGCCGCACTGGTAGTACTCGCAATGCTTGATGCGACCGCCCCGGAGGATGGCGGTCATGCCAGCATAGATGTCCTCGTTGAGATGCAAGCCCTTCTGAGCCTTGGACACACCGCCTCGAGTTGTCATGAAAATGCCGTTCAGGAAGTCAGGATGTCCATAATGCAGCTTACCGCCAATCTGAGCAAGCGTGCGGGCAAACAGCGTACCGAACGTCTGTTCCTTGCCAGCAGCGACATCGCCCAGAATGCCGATATTTTCAGAGAAGATGTACTCGCGTGCTCCCAGAATAGCAACCGGGGAGGTCGCGTTCTCCTTCACACCAGGAGTATACGGCGAGACATTGGTCGTCTTCATCTCTTCGAACTCAGCTAGTACACTTCGAATCTTGAGGCACTCCTCAAGATAGTTGTCCTGGTTGGCGTCGATGAGTTGGATATACTCGCCACGGTAGAAAATCAACGAGTGGTTTTGGTTGTCGGACTTCCCGTCCCCGAGCACAGGGTTGCCAGACAGCTGAATCCGGAACTTGGGCCGCCGCATGCCGTTCCCCATGATTTCCGAGTGGCCGTCAATAAGCGCCGAGTACAGACGGGGCTCGTCGCCCTCGGCCAAGGGGGGTTCCTCGTCCAAGTAGGCAATCTGCAAATCCGGATATGCTCTCAACAGGAACTCGGCGTTCTCCATCTCTTCCTTCTTGAACTTGGCGTAACGCTGCATGGAGACGATGAGTTTGAACTTGCGACGGGCCATGCGCTCCAACTCCCTTTCAAGCTTGTCCGAGTTGCCACCAAACATCTGCACGACCTCTGGGTTCTCCACACGATATAGTAGCTTGATGGCTCTGCTATAGTTCATGAAGCCAGATATCGTGCGATAGAGAGTCTGCGAGCGTAGCGACGCCCAGATGCGAGTCCGCAACGTGTACTCGGGAGCGGATGACTTGAAGCCTATGCAATAGAAGGGAAGATCATCGATCTTGCTCTTGGCAGCGTCCTTCTCGTTCTTCTCAAGGTCACCGTTGAACTGCGATGTCTCATCTGCCAGGATCTTGGTATCCTTGACAAAACAGTCCCATTCATGGGGGTGTAACTGCTTCAGATACTCCAGGAGGGTAACACGGGAGTACGGTTCATCTTCACGGATAATTTCCCTAAGCGAAAGCAGGATCTTCTCGCTGTAATGGGGAATGAGGACAGAGAACGTTGGCATGTTGTCAACAGGGAGGGGCTCCGGGATCGGGGTTGATAACGACTGGGCGAAGAAAGAAAGTCGACGTTCGGCCTCGCTATTGGCGGGAAAGAATTCCGTGTTGAACGAGTGGTCCTCTTGAGAGACGAAGAATGTTGGCGCTCGGAGCGTCCGCTTGCCTTCTTGCTCCGAAGGAACTTGGTGATAGAGCAGCTTCTGAACGTGATCAATCGCGAGAAGATGCTCGCGATACATGGAGATCACAATGGCGTTCCATACTTGCGAGATGAGGACTTTGGGCTTGTACTTAATTTCCATGTCCCCTGTGGCAAGAACCTTGGAATAAATACGCTTCGGCAAGCGAGAAAAGATGTTCCTCCAAGGGGTCCAGATCGAAGAACCAATGTAGAACGACCGTGCGATTGAGAAGACGGTGTTCATGAGCACGTACCAGAGATAGGTGTCCAGGAAGAAGAAGATGAGATCGGTAAAGGACATCAGCCCCAGCAGAATGTTGTGTTGCTGCCTGCACAGGACGTCGCCAAAAAGGTTGTCGCCCAGACACTCGATCTTCATGATGGAGAGATATCGAATGGGGTCGCGGAATGAAAGTGTTAGGTATGCGTAAGACGCACCCAACTTGGCACCGAAGATGATGGCCCAAAGACCAAATGACATGGCCATTGCGTTCGCACCAAGACGAGGCCAGCTGGCGGTGAAGGTCTGACTGGCGACATATTTGCGAGAGTTATTCGCGAGGTAACTGCCGAACAGTCCTCCCAAAGGCATGACGGCGAAGAAGAGGAAGGTCGCCAACGCAATGAAAAACTGAACAATGCCGAGAATATGAGCGGGACGCTCTTCTGGCCCGGCAATGCCGAGGATGTAGACGCTTGGTCCGACATTGATGGCGAAGATAAGAATGAGGAAAAGAAGCCGCTTCGTTAGGTGCTGAGCACCGGCCCATCGGCGAGGAACATAGGCCCATTCAGCAAGCGTTGCCAGAATTTGGATCAAAGAGGCGATGCTGCCGCCCAGAGCCACAATAGACCAATATCGGGCAGGGTCGGGAGGTTGGTTGACTTGCTGTTCGTATGATGGGCCTACAATGAGACTGGGCGAGTTGAAGGCGGTGTAGAACCAGAACACGGTGATGTGGATGATCCAGATGCGGTTAAAGTTGACGAGGAGATGGAACCACGAACGGGATTCCTTGTACGTTTTGAAGAAGCACTTCTTCCAATTGATCTCGCTGAACTTCAGGTACCGCTCTGCAGGAGAAAGGTCGACCAGCCGGGTGCCGTCTTCCAGCACGATGCGCTCGATGCCTTCCGGGTACCAGAACAATTGATTGCAATCATCATAGCCGATGATCTGGCTGTGGTCGCGTTCACGACGCACGTAGACTCCGTCTAGGATTTCGTACCCTTGATCTCGGCAGTATCGGTAAAGTGGCGTGATGACGTTGTTCAGGAAAGTGAACTCCTCCACCGGTTCGACAAGATTCTGACAAGCGGGGGAGTTGAGGTAGTCGTCGGCGCACTTGAAGATGAAGCACAGACACTCTGGCATGAATCGGACCTGGTTGGCTTCACCCCAACAGAGGAGATAAAGTGCGATTTGCCGGACACGATCGTGCTGTGACATGCGGTTCATGCGAGTCTTCCAGCGGTACTCGGCTGCCTCGAGGCTGTTATCACTCTCAAGCTCGGCCAGTGCCTCATCTTCCGTCTGCGCCTCCTTCTGCTTCTTGTTCTTTTTGGATTTTCGGTGGAAACCTTTCCCTTTCATATTGGCGAACCCAACAGCATCGTCGAGATCCAGATGCGCGGCGAAATACCACTTGCGGTAGTTCGCATTGTCACCGCCAATGTAGTCCGCGTGCAGGGATAGGAGTGCTTGGTTCGGCGTCATGCGGGAAGCCCTGGAGTCGAGAAGCGTCATCAGGTGGTCATACATATTCCGCATGCTGTCGCGTTGGAAGCCAAACTTGGCGGCCAGGTCGAGGAAAATATCCTCGACCTCTTCCTTCGAAAGCGGAATTTGAGCGTCCGAAGTCCAGGCAGGATACGGCTCACGAGAGCGCTGACCGGCAGGGAGCGCGTTGGCATAGTCCATTCCGTAATTCGGAGTGGACGCACCAGATGAGCGATTGCCGGCATACGAAATCTGAGATGAAGGCGGCCGGTAGCCTCGACCACCCGTCGGTTCGCCGTAGCTGTTGTACCTTTCATCGCCGCGACCATAGTAGTCCATGTCGGTAGCTCGGGCCATGTCCGATCTCATGGTGAAGTCGCTGAAAGTTTCAGAATCGTCCTCGGTTCCATGACGGCGGCCTCGATTATCGTAGCCCTGGTTATAATCCTGGTCATAGTAGCCGCCATTGTTGCTATTGTTCTGGGCATTGTAGTAGTCATCCTGGTACTGATCTTGGCCATCGTAGTATCCGCCATCCTGCTGGTATGGATTGTTTGGATCGGCATTGTAGTAGCCACTAGAGACATAAGAAAAGGTCGTGTCAGCACGGTCGCAGCCAGGCAAAGCCAAGAGCAATGGAGATTGTCACGTACGATTCATCATAGTAGCCATCTTGCTGTCCTCCGCGAGTGTCATAGGCATTGTTGTTGTTTGTGTTGTTGTTGTTGTTGTTGTTGTTGTTGTCGTAGTAGTACTGGTCATTATCTTGGTAGTACGAATCGGCTCCGTTGTTGTTCTGGTTGTTGCCCTGGTTTCCTTGGCCTCGCTGACCATAGCCATCATCATAATCGTGGTGGCCACCACCGGGATATCCAGACATGATTGCAGTTCGTTCTGTATCTGTATTTTGTTTGTCTTAGCCAGGACGTTACTGCAACCAATGGATGTCGGAAATACTGGATCGCAGGATTTATATTCCCGGACCTACCGTCAATGTGGCATAAGACGCAATTGAATCTGCGGCCGACGCAGGATCCCGTCGGCTAAAAGAAGAGACTCCCCCAGTTCCGTTAGGTAAGGTAGTCAGATGTCCCCAGGACAGAACGGCGGTCGGGCTGCCTGATCAATCTCCGATTCTGGGAGATGCAAAAACTCGAGGGGATACGGGCGAGTATTCCCCTGGTCGGTACACAGGAGACCGAAATGACTAACACGGAGGATCGCAAGTCCAAAATGAATGGATGAAGTATGCTGTCAACTAGGCCACCGAGGAGAACTCGTTGTCGTGTTTGATGGCAATTTCTTCTCTTCAGGGACGTGGATTCGAAGGTTCTGCGGGCACAATCTGGGTTTCCGTACTTGCACCGAAAATGAAAACAAACGTGGAAAAAAGCGAAAGGCAAGTAGAAACGAGAGTGCGTAGGAAGTTGATAGGGTCAAATTAAGCGAAGGACGTCTGTTCACTCCGACATCGAGTGGAAAGAGGCAACGCGTGAATGCCCTTCTCTGGTGTTTTGTCGAAGTTCTAAGTAAGAAAAAAGGGGGAAAGGGAGGCGGGCGGCGCGAGGAGAAGATGGGGCCAGGGCTGCCCCGTTTAGAAATTGGACGAGACACGGAATGTCCCTATGTGCAGAATGCACACTGTATACTGCGTATTTGTAATCTCTCCGTGCATAGGTAGGTATACCCCCATGTGCGAAGTAATAAATCGTAAGGCACCTAGTATCAAATGGAGGACTACATACGTACATGCAGATTGTCAATAAGGTACGTCGTACAAGACTTTGTATGTGTGCCATTCTACAGTGTAAAACCTCGTTCTGGACGGCTTCTTTTTTATTCGTCAGTACGGATATCATCGTTTTCTGCAGACCATGGAGTAGGAGACAAGATGGGAGGACAGGTCCGAAGGCCTTTGAACCCAGGTACCTCTATACCTACCCGGGAGGGGGGGTTTCTAGGTCAGAGCTCGGACAGAGACTTTTGCTCTGACCAGAGCCAGGACAGAGAAATTTCTGTCGACATGATGTTCTAAGACTGTTGACAGATTGACCAGTTATCGGGCTCTGTCCTATACCCCCCCAAACCCGGGTAGGTAAATTAGTTTCAGCGTCAACACCTGTACTCCGTGATTATTTCGTACGGTGTTACAGTTAGGGATACATGGACCACCTTCCTGCCTTGCTCGCATCTTCATCCGTCCACTCCATTCATTCGTATTGGGTGGGTATTACACGCACCAACCAACCGATGTCCGCCCTGAAAAGTGGCCTAACGGTTCCTGGGAATCTGAGGTTCAGGTCAGGTTTTCGAAGGCGACAGTGGAGAGTGAGTCTCAGGGGCTGTGTGACTGCCAAGACCTAAGATAGGTACGGCAGTCAAGCGCGTCATTGTATGAATTCGTCCTTGCACACAACAGCAACCTGCCATTCCCACCCCAATTGGGAACATGATAGAAGGGAAGGTACGATTAAGTCAAGCGCAAGGCCACTTTGAAAACGCGTTCCCTCTGGTTAGTTACGTGAAAAATGTCCTCTCAGCCGAGAGCAGAGTCCCAGCTTAAGCATGCATATACTCACTCCTACTCCGCTGTTATTAAACGTTTCCCCCCATTTACACGTAGAAACGGGCAAAAGAGGCTGGAGACGGCTCTGGGGCAAAAGGCAATCAAACAGGATCCAGCCTCCCATTGTAGCACAGTATGCACAGACTTCGTACCGCATTCTTCACAGCATTGTACACGTACACGTGTACTCCGTATGTACTTCGTATACGGATACATAAGGTACCTAAGGTACCTACGAAGTAGGTAAGTACCAAGTACCAAGTAAACACCGATATCTCTCCGCACTCCCGGTCGGTTAGTTTAAGGGAAGGATTACGGCGCCCGGACGTTTTGATATCGAGCCCGTAAAAGTGGAGTCATGATAACACATGTTCCTTTACTTGCAAACACCATAATAAAGCGAGGCCTCGTTGAGTCCAGGTACTTACAGTTATATTAATTAATTAAACTGCTCCTAAGGTATACCACCACCGCCGCCTAAGGTACCTATAATAGAACGAACGACCCTATTAGTACGAGCCCGGAACCGTGGCTCTACGTGGGAGCTATCGAATCTACATATACGAATCGAGGAAGATATCGAGGAAGATACCTTAGGACTAGGATATTAACGAATATCACGGTATATACCTGTGCCCGCCGAGACCTCGCCTTAGTACTATGATATAGGCAGTTAGCAAGTAAGGGGATATATGTTATTATGACTCCACTTTCACGGGCTTGATAGTAAAACGTCCGGGCGCCGTAATCCTTCCCTAGTTTAAAAGTATGTGGCTGGTTAGGTACCTTAGTGTGATTTCGTCATGGAACGTCCTCGCCTGGAAAATTCCCACACTCCCACAGTCCTCACAGACATGAGTCGCGTCGTATTTTGACTCCTTTCCACTATAAAAATCCTGAACACATGCATCCATGCAATTCTCATCGTAATTTCATGTACCAAGTAATGAGAGTGTATAACAGCCTCTTCGAGTCGGCACTATACGTCACAAAGCCGAGAACCTCAACAACAACCCAGTCGACTCTTATGGGTTGGCAAAGCCACCGATGGATATGGTGACGTGACTGTGCATGGACGAAGTTGCAGGCGTGGTTTTCCAACCCCCGTCCTGCCCTTTTTGCCCGCTTTCAAGCTCACTAAGTTCTTTCCAGCCCGAGATCAGCTCGAAATGTTAAGTACTTCGTTTCACCAGATCAAAGGGAATTCCTAATAACCTAATATAAAAAGTACACGTGGTATAAGTTATCGCACATCAAAATAGCACTTGTATAATTAACTTAATAGAGCAGAAATCTCGTGTATGTGTATTATATTAAGTTATATCTATATAAGTCTCTTATACCCTTAATTTAGGTGGTGAAGACTCTGTTATAGGTACTACATTATTAGATCCTATCCAGTCTTTTCTGGTATCCTCCCTTATTATATCCTGATACCTAAGGTCCCCGAGATCCAAAGCCCCTTAGTTAGGCATAGGTCCCCTAGGAACTATATCGTGGTCTATATGCCTATACGATATATCCCCTTAGTTAAGGTAGGTCTTCCCAGGTTAACTAACTAATTAAAGTCTTCGGTTTAAACTAAAAGCTCTTAACTTTTCTATTATAAAATTAATAGTTAAGGGAAAACGCCCTTATAAAAGGGATCTAAATCCACTCTATTTAACTATTTAATTTAATTCTATCTTAATCGGTTCCTCGATTCTCATTAGCCAGATCTACTTAATCAGATCTATATCTATTAGATCTATTACGCCCTCGGGGGCCTTTATTGTCGTTACGGCCACAGTTTTAGCGTGTTTAATATTTTTATACAGTTATTTCGACTATTTAATAAGATCCTTTTAATCCGTTAAATTAAGCTAGTACTATAGTTTTTTAATCCCTACCTCCGGTAATACCTTTATTAAGCCGTCCGTAGTTATATCCTTCGTGTTAACGTATATAATCTTAAAAAGACCTTACTATACTAACTAGCGCGCGCCTACTAGTTATATATATCGATATACTATAGCCTTATTCGCAGGCATTATAAAGTTAATAGTGTGACGGCTTGTCAAAAGTTGTTCACGTATTGAGGCCGAAAATATAGATTATTCGAACTAAGGAAGGAAAGGAGGAAAGGAAGAGTCTGCGCGGTGTGCAGGCGGCTAAGTACGTGTGGAATCGTACGGACCTCGCTAGGAGGTCCGTGCTTCTTGGTCCCGGCCACTGCCGGGGACTATTCCGCGGGCCACAGCCCGTAACAAATAGTCTACTAATTATCGTAATATAACTATAGTTATTATTAATCTAACTAAAGCTCTAAATCCGTTAATGTCCGATTAATAAATAAAGTCTCCTTAGCGGCCTCTATAAGAGCGAGTAGTTCTAACTCGATTAACGATATTATGACCGTTAGTTACTTACCCGCCTTCTAGTTAATAGTACCGCCGAAAAGCTTTATCGCGTATCCTTAGAAGCTTTTACGATTTAGATTATCCCCGAAAAACGCGTCGTTTACGGTTAGGAAGAGTCTATCCCTACCGAATTCCAGGCAGTAATACCTTATATAATATAAGAATAGCAGCACTTATTAAGCCCTCTTAAGGTGGTTAGAGGAGGGGTTAATATTATATTAGGAAAGCTTCGAATAGGCGAACGCGATATCGGGTCTTATCACGATAGCGGTATACAGAATTAAACCTATTATGCCCTAATACTAGCGGACCTCGGGAATCAACGCGCGTATACTATTATATAGTATTAACGGCTTTATAGATAATAGGACTTTTCATAGTTTTTAGTAAAGGATATCTACGTAGTATTTAACCGCGATCTTCTTTATATAGAAAGAGTATAATAGCTATAACCTATATATAGCTTTATCTCTTAGAACCTTAATTCCCAGGAACTAACGGATTTCGTCGCCTCCCGATAACCTATAGCTTCGTTTAAGGGCAGCCTCGAGGTTATCGGCGTTAGTCTTATAATCTTTATAGTATATAAGTCTGATATCGTTAACGTAAAAGAATAGGATTAAACTATCACGGATTATAATATAGGGGTCGTTAAGGACGGCTATAAATCCTATCTTCTATAGCGTGCCGCTAAATTCCTCTTACTATAGTAGTAATAATACCCTTAAGCCGAAAAGGGCTTTCCGTAATAGCAGGACCTTACCTAGCACTTTATAGTCTTACGGTATCTTTATAAACACTTCCTCTTTAAGGCTAGTATTAACGAACGCGTTAATAGTATCGAACTACCTTATTTCTAAGTTAAATCGGGCGGCGATCGCTATTAGTATATAGAAGGACCGCGAGGCTAATATAGCGGCGTAGTTATCTTTAGTTTCTAACCGTTTTTATTAATTCCCTTATATAATAAGGCGTGCCTTATACTTAAGAAAGATACCCTCTTTATTAAACTTATAGATGTATACCTATCTATAAGTAAGGACTTATTACTTATTAGCCTAATCACTACCTACCTCTAACTAGCAGCCTATCTATTAGTAACCCTCAAGGTATTCCCCCTTAGCCTATAACTACCGCTCGCGTAACTAGTAGAGGCGTATATCGCAGTAGTGGTTTAGTAGAGACGGGAGATCCTTACGGGTTAGGCGCGATAGCGGCTAGGAGGCATCAAAGAGAAAGGGATCTATAGTACCGATATCGCTGTTATTAATAGCTTACTTCCTTATACGTATAGGGGTATAAGTCCTTTTAGCATTAAGAACGCCTTCTAGGTATTATTGTTCTATACTTTCTTAATCGTGTAGAGGCTTATAATAGTTCTCGTGATAGATAGGCACGCGGCTAATAGGCGTACGGTCGACAGGCACGCGGCTAATAGGTATACGGCTAATAAGCACCCCCTAGGGGTATCCACGGCTACCCGTTAATAGCTATCGTCTTCTTCTACCTTTACGCCTCGGAATACCACTAACGCTATAAGGAACGCGTGCGCAGGATCTTCCGGTGATATTAGAGGCGTGGAAACGGTTTAAACCTTATAGTAGTAAACCGTGGAGTATCCGTAGTAATAGCGGTATCCTCTTCCGTAGTAATAGCGGTAGCTTCTCTTATAATAATAGCGATAGCCTCGCCTTTATCCATAGTAATAGCGGTAGCGTCGCCTTTACCCGTAGTAATAGCGGTAGCGTGGTCTTCTCCTATAATAATAGTAGTATCCGAAATAATAGCGGTGCCCATAGTAATAGTGGTAGCCTCTTTTATAGCAATAGCGATAGCCTCGCCTTTATCCGTAATAATAGCGGTAGCGTTAGAGTCTTCCGACTTAAGATCTAATACGGCTATACCCCTTAATAGTAGCCTATTCGCTATATTGTTAGATTAGGTAATACGGATAGATTATAGGTATTCCCTACTTTCCTCGGCGGAAGCTATAGCTTATAGCGTCTTAATCCTGCGATTAAAAGTCTTATCTTCGTTAAAGATTATATATCTTATAATACTAATATCCGTTAGGTGTAGTAGCTATACGCGGAAGCTATTCGAGGAGTAGTATCTAATATAATAACCGATCTATACCTTCGGTTCTAGCCTTTATAAGCGGTTCCTTTTAGCTTAGGTATTACGCGTTTTTAAAAAGACTTTATAGCTATATACCCGCAGATATATAAGGTTAGGTTAACAGCCGCGTAGGCCTTTGTATAGCCTCTTCTATTTGTTAATATATCGTGGGGTTCTATTATATAGGTATATAGCGGTCTTAAAAATCTTAATCTAGATAGATATAAGCAGATTAGCTCTAACTCTTATAGCCCTCGCCCTTCTCTTAATAATACCTTTAATCCATTCTATAATGCTATTTTAATCCTATGAATATAGTGCCGACGGCTAGTCTTCTACCCCCTTAGCAGCGAGGAAAGTAACGACTTCTAAGTACTAAAATATCTTAGAATCGGCTCGTAGGATATATAGCCTAATATCGATTTAGGTCTTAAACAGGGCAAAAACATCTTTTAACATATAAAGGATAGAGCCTTAGTC